CAGCATCTCCTACTGAAATTAAACAAGCCCACATTAAAGCATTCCAGAATCAGTCTTGGTCACTGGATGAGTCATACACACTGCAGAGAAGCTGAGGTCTTTTGTGTTTTTATCATCAGTTATTGTAAAGGGACTGTGCTTTGCTTGTTTCTGAGATTAAAATCTGTGAACAGCATACCTTCTTCAGAGGAGTGTCGGGACTCTTCTGGTAGATCAGAGGGACAAGTAGTTAATTTGAGAGATATCTAATCCTGTGTGATGATGTGCTTTTATTTTTTTCCCATCTTTTTAATTGAAAGAACTTTGGCTATGTTACGAGTCTAGAACTGCTCAGAAATAGAGATATGTCAGAGATGAACTGTATCATTTCTCCATCTCACTCACGCATCCGGATGTCGAGTGACAAAAGGAAGCAAACCATATTTTTAAGTGCATGTTGTATCTTTTATAAAACCTTTTTGGCAATGATTGGCAGTCTTAATAAATTTAATTTTTTTTCTAGATTATGAGTATTTGCTAGTGATGAACTGTAACATTTATGCTTGTTATCTTACAGAAAGGAGAAGAAAAAATAAAAGCCTAAAGCTGTATTTTTTGACACAGCTCTGATACAAACAGTTTCCATTAGAATCAGATTTGGTAAAACAATAAGCAGTACTATAATCTTGCTAGCTGCCAGCACTACGCTCCCCAGATCACATCAATCTGAATTTGTATTTTGAAATCCATTTGCCCAGGTTTTAGATATGCATCTAATGTTAAAATACTCAAAGTAGGTATGTAAGAGTGAGGAAGCACAGCATACAAGCATACAGAACCCTAACTTCTTGTGGGCACAATCTTCACATTATTTGCTTTACATTAATTGCTCTTTGTCAAATGCATAGTACAAGATGGAGAAGTGCCTGGTATACACAAACATAGAGCACTCTAGGTTGTTCACATTTATGTTGTAAATATCAAAAAAAGTAAGAGATTGGACATGTGGTTCAATATATGACAATACAACTTATAGTGACTTTGATTATGAAATAAAATTAAAAGAAGATGGGGCTATCTGGCAAGCAAAGCAGTATTGCATGACACTGTGCACCAAGGATTATTTTGTATCAATTCATACCTTTTTTTTTTTTTAAGAAAATGCTCCTCCTATGATGAGGTATGCATACAAACAGCAATAATATCCTAGATGTGACAAGAACTCTTTGTCATTTTCTTTTAAAACTTCTTGATTCAGCCCAAGGAGTCTGACTAAATTTCTAGTTATTTTTCCTTTTTCCTCTTTGAATATTTCTTTATCATTACTTTTTCTAACATTTTGGAATTTCTTGAAATTATTTAAAGTATTTTGTGTTGTATGATATGCTGTTTTGGACCTCTGCTACGAGCAAACAGTTTGAAAAAGTAGCCATAAAGTACACTTGGAAACAGAACACAAAATTGTTTTTATTTTGTCATCCCTTAATCTTTATTTCAGAAAAATGAAAATTCTATTATTGAGCTATTAACCCAGTAGAAATATTTGCATTTTAATTACATAGTAATTACTAGGAATTAATAATTAAAATGGTGTAGTTCTGCCTAATGCATATGAATAACTAATGCTTGACAGTTTCTTATGGTAATCACAGAATCACAGAACCACGGAATCGTAGGGGTTGGAAGGGACCTCCAGAGATCATCGAGTCCAACCCCCCTGCCAAAGCAGGTTCCCTACACCAGGTCACACAGGTAGGCATCCAGGCAGGTCTTGAACATCTCCACAGAAGGAGACTCCACCACCTCCCTGGGCAGCCTGTTCCAGTGCTCCGTCACCTCACTGTAAAGAAGTTCTTGCACACATTTGTGCAGAACTTCCTATGCTGCAGTTTCCAGCCGTTTCCCCTTGTCCTGTCTCCACTCACCACTGAAAAGAGTCCAGCCTCGCCATTCTGCCCCCCACACCTTGGATATTTATAGACCTGGATCAGGTCCCCTCTCAGTCTCCTTTTCTCAAGGCTGAACAGACCCAGTTCACTCAGCCTTTCCTCATAGGGGAGATGCTCCAGGCCCTTCACCATCTTTGTGGCCCTCCGCTGGACTCTTTCCAAGAGATCCCTGTCTTTTTTGTACTGGGGAGCCCAGAACTGGACGCAGTACTCCAGATGAGGCCTTACCAGGGCAGAGTAGAGGGGGAGATAATCCAGGGTAACGTGGCAAGGGGGAAGTAATCCTTACCAGGGTAACCTGGTAAGGTTAGTAGTAACTGCCCTGGTAATATTTACCAGTTAGTTAACCAGTGGATTAGTAACAAGTGCCCTGGTAATATGTTAGTAGTATGTGTCATGTTCAATATAATTTCATAGCACTTTAAATAAAACTTTTTTACAGCTTTAAATATCTGAAAGTAGGGCATGCTCTGTCTTTATGGGTCATGTTGTTACATTGAATGGCACCAGGATGGCTGCCTCTGGGCTGGCTAAATGAGATCTCTTTTCTAAAGGTTCTCTTCAAATTTCTTAAGGTTATTAAAAGTTCTCTTCTTGTGAGACCATGTGATAATTCTAGATATTACATTGCAGAGTAGTAATCAATCTCATTGGTCAAATATATGCCAGGCAAGAAATTCTTTCCTCCAACTTCATCCCAGCACTGAATGCTCTTTTTTCTTTCTTTAGTATTCTTTAATTTTAAGAAGTTTGCTATTGTGTTTTCTGGGTAAGGTATGAATTGTTACATTACAGGTTTTTATACAAACATGACTTAAAATGTTTAAGACAGAAACTTTCTTAATTTGTGTAAGAAATGAATGACTCAATTTATTGTGTTACTATTGCTTTGCTCAGATAAAGCTGTAATCCAACACCATGGTTTCATATGCGTTTCCATACATTTTAAGTGACCTGTAGGACTTTTTTCTAAATGCATTACCTTATTTAATTAGATAGGTAAATTATTCTCTTTTGTGTATTTTGAACAATGCTGGAATGGATCATGTGGTGATTTATCACCCTTTGCATCCATTTCATCCTTTAACTAGCTAAATAAGAAAAGTAACCCTAAAATAATTTTTTGTGGGTACTGACTTGTATGTAGGGATTGCAAGTAAAAGTCATTGAAAATTCATTTTCTTTCCACAAAACATAGTTACAGTTCTTGTGCACATTTACATATATTCATGATAACAGAATAGGAGTAGTTTGTAATAGTTTTCAGGAAATGTTTATCTTCTTAAAGAAAGCACATAAAAATAGCCTATAAGTTAACATCCTGCTTTTCCCAGTTCATTCCACTAATCACCACCTCTATACTCCCAACTCTATTAATGTGATTTTGGAGGGGCAGGATTTTTTTGCATACGTACTGCTTTTTGCTTCTTTCAGTGGATTAATATCTAAAATGAAAATCATGTATTTTGGTGTTGTAACACTGCGGACTATATGTATCTATATGTATTTAAGTATGAAAAAATATTAGCTGTTTCCTCCACTCTTGGCCTTGCTTCGCTGTAACTGGAGGCTGCCTATAAATAATTAAATACATAAATAATCAAGACATTATTATTATTTATCTAAAGAAGCGGTAGAGTTTTAGAAAACAAACCGAAAGATGAAGTAGTGTGCAGAAGCCTTGCTTATGTATTGAGATAAGAGGATTTCTTACAAAGTAAAGCCAGTTTTTAAGTCATGTTACAAGTCGTGATGTTCTCCTGATGGGGAGGGAGACTACACCTATATATAGTGCATAAATGAATATCTCACTCTTAGTATCACACTGGCACTGAAAAGTTAGTCTTCTAACTGTGGAAGTGGGCTTCAGAGAGTCTTAAAGACATTGTCATTTTAAAACAGTAAGTTATGCTAGTAAAATTGCCCTATCCCTGTTCAAGGCCAGATTGGATGGAGGCCTTTACAGCCTGGTCTAGTATTAAATGGGGAGTGGCCTCAGGGGTGGCCCTGCATGTGGCAGGGAGGTTAGAGATTCATGATATTTGAGATCCCTTCCAACCCAGGCTATTCTGTGATTCTGTAAAATTATGCTCATATGGATGAAGTCTATCCTAGTGTGAAATTTCTTATATCCATATGAATTGTATCAGTAATGTGCCTGTGCATGAGGAAAATAAGCTATGCCTGTAATTTTTTGCTACTGTGATTGAGTCTACATTAGGAGATTTTTGCTATGACAACTTTGTTGGTCAGAAATTGTGCTATATCTCATCTTTGTCTGGCAAAGGAAAAAATGTGTGTAGAAATATACCTGGCCCAGAATGAGAATATAAAGCTTCCAATTGCCTTATCCTAGGGCACACGAATTTCCCTTTAACTCTGCTTGTCCATGATGACTGGTGTGTACTTAGCCAGAGGCTGATGAATGCTGCTTTTCAAAGCCTCCATGGCATGTCATTACCAGTTGCTAGAGCTCATGCTTAGTCATTATTGTAATACAGAGGATAATTTGTCAAACCCTGTCACCTCTATGAAAGCACCCAACTGCTGGTATAAATATCCCTAGGCACCTGGATTTGAAAATTACTCTAGCTGACTTTCTTATATTTAGTGTGTACCTGCTGGTCTGACTGATATGTAAGCTAAGAAATTCCCTTCCGACTGAGAAACTGGATAAAATTACCTAATAACAATTATTTTATTATTACAAATTGTACTGCAGTTATCTAGTTAATTATCTGTGGTGAAAGGCCCTGCCTCAGACGTCCATAATATTCTGTAATTTTGGAGATTTATTCTGCTTTTGATATTGACTGGAAAATATGAACTGTTCATGGATATGCTTGTGGAATATTTTTGTGTAACTGTGTGTCATGTATAGCTAGTGGTATACGAAATGTCTGCTTTATTGGATCTTAGCATATTAGATCTTAATGTACAACTTACATGTACTATGAAGCAGCAGCTTATGTGTGGATGTTGTACAACATACAAAGACCTTGATGATAACTAAATAAATAAATTTGTTTTCAGTATAACAGGTATTCAAAAAGTCAAGAAAGAAAACATCTCCTCTGAAACTTGCAGAACACTTCCGATTTAGTCAGTCACCATGAACAAGAATACTTGTACTCTTCATGGGAGGAGTAAAAGTGTAAGTAGGTGGTTTTATTTTCACTGCTTCTATTTTTATTATCAGTATTTGTATATAACGCACATGATTTAAGCTGGCCTTTGAAACACCACTTTCTGAGTAGGATAGCAACTGTGATAGGTTCTTCGTTAGTCTTACCCTACTCTTGTATCTGTATCCAAAATAAGCACTGATATGTGATGTGCACATACAAAGATAGGTTTATTGAGTAATTTTGTTTTATGTGATTTTTTTGGAATTGACATCCATTTTTCTGAGAGCATTTTTGACCAAATTATTAAAAAAGATATTTTTTTTAGCATATATTATAGCATAAGTCTATATGTTGCTGACACATAACATGCTCAGAAGTACATGCTGCTGAATGATTTTGGCATCAAGATTTGCTAATTATTATATTTGCTAATGCATTGTAGAAATGCTGAATATGGTACAGGTAAACAGTGAGACAACGTGCTAATAATAAATGCCTAAATTTGGATGAAGCTTAATTTTGACTTATGTATGCCTATCCCAGTAACCAAGAAATAGAATGGTTAAGATGCTTCTCCAGACTCTTCTGTCTTTCTGGTGCTCAATAGAACAGTATTACTATGTGATATTATATACTGATGACTCTGCCTTCCAAGCATAGACAAAAACTGAATGTTCCTTTCTAACATGCTATTGCTATGCCTAAGCTGTTAAATATGCCCCTTCTCCTGATAGCCAGGGACATTTTATTCAAGTGGTTTGATAAATGGAAATTGGAAATAAAAGTTAGTGTGTGCCAGATGCTGCACCTACAAGGACAGAGGTTACAGATACAGTTTTTATTTTTGAGGGGCTTTCAGCTTGTATGAAAACAAAGTGTTCTTAAGAAATTATTCAGATCACACTGGATCCAGCTTTTCAGTTCTCTTCTGAGCCTCTTCCATCTAGCTCTGTAATGGCATTAAGACTGCTGCATCTGCTTCTTGCTACTAATACCTTAGTGCATCTGCCTCCTCACCCCCATTTGCTGCCTCTACTTCTTACCCAATATGGTTGGTTCTTGAAACAAGAGGGTGAGTTTAGTTGACTTCATTCAGAATTGCTCAAGTATGTGTCTTTTCTCTCAGCTGCTGGAAAGTGGTGCAGACATTCTGACCACATCTGAATTTCCTTTTCAAAAATTAAAGATCTTCCAATATAATCTTCTATTTCCTGTAACTTTGCTGGATATGCCATCAATGTGTGTAAATATAACAATGGGGAAAAGTGACAGACCTTTGCTAAAGGGTGCCACTACATAATTAAACAAATAGCCTGATGCAATACGGTAAACTGAAAACAGGTATCCAGTGTGAAATTTCACTATTGATTTTGTTTGACCTGGTGAGAAATTATGTGAAGCATAAAGCTGGCAAAAAAGTTTAAACAAGTGCAAAGCATAACATTTTTATGTCATTTGGGCTAATAAGATTTGATCAAATTTTGGACAAAGAGCAGCAATGTTTCGGTTTTAGTTGGATCAATTTTGAGCAAATATCTATTAATTCAAAATATCTTAATATTTCACTAAAAATTTTCTAGTACATATTTTATAAGATTTACTTCCAAAATGTCAATAAATACATCAAAGCAGGCCCTGAAAGTGATTTTATTTTTAACCTACAGAACAAACTTCTTGATTTTAGTGTTAAATGCATGTTGTTCTGAGCATGCAATCATAACCACTTGCAGCTATTTTTCTTCTATCTATATGAATTATGGAATACTTCCTACTTTTTTTTTTTTTTTTTTTTTTTTTTCCCAATTGTGAAATATATAATCCCTAAGGAATTATTTTAAGATTGTGTCTAAATAATTCTTTCACTGATTGTAGTAGAAAATAGTGATAGACTTTGAACAAAGGTGTCCTAGAACAGTCTCTTTTGCACTTATTGAGTACAGCCAAAGTTTTCGTTTTGTATGTTGATGGTATAACATCTTCCAAGTTGCTATATGTCTGTTGGTTTGCATTTGCATTGTCAAAGTTATCCATAGTTTGTCAGGCCAGCCATTTCCCAAACGACCTTCTTATGAATTTAAGAAAAATCTCAACAGTGAAATGAACAATCTTTAAAGGAATCGTGGATTATGGCTTTTATTTCTTGGGATGTTTCTGTGTAGCCCTAGTTTTCCTTCAGTATTACTGAACATATTATCTCAAATATTAGCGCGGGTGAGACCTCGTCTGAGTATTGTGTCCAGATTTGTAGTCCTCAGGACAGGAGAGACGTGGACCTGTTGGAGCACATCCAGATGAGGGCCTCAAAAATGATCCAAGGATTGAAAATCCTTTCCTACATGAGAGGCTGAGAGAGCTGGGGCTGTTCAGCCTGGGGAAGAGAAAGCTATAGGGAGATCTGAGAGTGGCCTATCACTATCTAAAGGGAGCTGTAAGAAAGAAGGAACCAGACTCTTTAGATGGATGTATGAGGATAGGACAGTAGGAAATGGTTTCAAAGAAAGTGAGGGAAGATTTAGACTGGACATGAAAAAAGAAGTGTTTTACAGTAAGGGTGGTGAGGCACTGGAACAGGTTGCCCAGAGAAGTGGTGGATTTCCCATCACTGGAGACATTCAAGGTCAGGCTCTGAGCAATATGATGTAGCTGTAGATGTCCTTGTTCATTGCAGGGGAGCTGGACTAGGTGACCTATAAGGATCCTTTCCAACACAAATGATTCTATAATTCCATGCTTTTAATATGGAAGATGAATCTGCAAATGTGTGTATATACACATATATATACACACCAAATGTAGAACTAACTTTGTGCACAATGAGCCAGCAGAAGCTTAGCTTAACAGTGTAGAATAATACAAGTTAGAGAGAGAAAAGACTTTATCCCCATTATCAGATTTTCTGACAAAAAAAATAGTACTATGAAGTGCTGGTGTAACTTAGAGCTTTGACTATATATATATATGTATATATATAAATCTTGCCAAGCAATCTAGTCATTGGAAACATGTTGCTAGTATTTATTTTTAAATTTCCTTTAATAGGATTTTATCCCCTTGCTGGTACTTTATGTCCTCAGACAGAACAATGTGTATAATCTTGCTAGTCTGTCACCCTCTCCCTTGCTGGTTTGCACAATATTCCTAGTCATTCTTCTGTTGGTAGCCTATGGAGTAGCACTTAACAGTATTTGGTAATAACATTTTATATAACAGTCAGCTCTCTTTCACTCACTGTATTCAGTGAGATTGCCTGCATTTATATCGTTTCAGATGTACACAGTTTGTCTATTCTCTCTTAGTCATTTTCCTTAGTTAACTTTTTACTTCTTTAAATAGTTACCCCATAAACAAATTCCTCTATCTCTGAAATTTCTATTTTTCTGTTGTCTTGACCTGCTTAGAATATTCTAGGTGTTTCATTGTTTTAACTTCCATAATTTACCACATGCTGTTTCTGAAAATAGAGTTAAATTTTATTCTTTCCCTCAGTGTAATTTGTTTGTTTATTTATTTGTTTCTCACAGTTACTTCAGGTAGAAGACAGAGATATTAGTTAGTGCTTAACTGCTATGCAAGAGACTTTTTTTAGCATGCTTTTAATAAAATAGTAAAATTCTTTGTGTTTTGGAAGGGCTTCATATTATTTTCATAAAAGGATGGACAGTGTAATGTATTTCAGCGGTGTAGGTGGAGACAGATAGCTTTACGAGGTACAACATCATTTGTTCTTTGTCATAAAAATAATGAAATGCATTATTTATTGGTATTTTAAAATCAAACTTGCAGCACATATTCAGTTAAATTGGCATGGCTTTACACACCATCAGTAATAATTTTCTGTAGAGCATTATAATAACTGGATTTCTAAGTGAGTCTACTGGAGTCATATACAGTCATCTGAATGAAGTAAGAGTCCTCTGCAGGTGATGAGAGTGCCAGTATATGAGCAGGAAAGAATAAAGTCTGCATGTTACACTGTGTGGGTGTGCATCTTGGAACATTGTGTCAGAAGTGAGTCAATTCTTGTGAAATCAGAAAGCAGCTATATTGCAAGAAAAAGAACCAGCCAAGAGGATATGTTTAGCAACTGGCCCTGCTTAAGCTGTAGAATTTCAACAGCTTCAACAAAAATAAAGAGTGGGTGGGGCTGAAAGCAAAATTAGAATGTTTATGCTGTAGTAAAGAACAAAGACTGCTATGTGCACCAACAATATATGGTCAGCCTTCTAACCTATTATATCTTTAATAGCCAAGACCGTTTTGAGTTTGTAAACGTGCATCTCATAAAAGGTGTATTTTGTGGAACTGTTAGTTGTGTTCTGTAGAAACTACTGAACACCAGCAGCGGATAATTATGCTGTCTCATTCTATAATCAAAACTTTAAAATAAATTTATGGCTACTGATATGATCAGAAGATGCTAGATCTCAAAGGGCTGTGCAACAAAGATGCTGAGAGTTTAGTTGTGTGCAGATGTTGATGAAAAAACTCATCCAAATGCAAAGCAGACGTGGAGCACCCACAGAGATGAAATGCAAAAGAAGGTGGAGAGCTATTTGCAAATAACTGACTCACTGAGATGTTTTCATCCAAAGCAGTTAGGGTTAAATAGTTGCAACCCTTGCTAGAGAGCGAGAGAGTGAAGGGGAAGTTAGAAACTTCCTCTGTCATTATGCTCACTTCTGTTTGCATTATGAGTCAGAGATGACAAAACCAAGGTGCTCTTTGCATGTCAGTGAATGGTCAGGGACAGGGAATGTCTTCCTTTTGCTCTTCTGCTCACCAAACAGAAGAGTTCTTCAGCAATAGGGTAATACTAAACCAAAGAATAGAGTGATGTAGTTCTACACAGGGAGTGTGAAGGAGCTGCAAATATATTCAGTCCCAGGCCTCTTCTTATCATATTGCAGTTCTGTCAAGAGCAATCCTTGCTTTAGGACATTTTCTAAGTAACTATTCATCAACAGAAATGGGAGAAGCTCACAGTGTTCCAGAAGCATTCTTTTTTCACGGTAAATTTGCACTACTT